TCCATTTCTCTTATTCTCTCGTTCACTCTTATTTAGCGTTTGTTCACCGGAGCGAGAGAGCGACACACAAAAAACATATACTGCTTATATGCGCGTCGCGCGGATAACCTCACTTCCTCGATGAAGATGAAGACGATGACGATGACGATGATGCCTTCGAGGCTCCCATTATATTAAAGAAAGGCCTTGTCTCGGTCACAGTTTCACGGTCGCTTTTCCACTCTCTCGCTCCTTAAATCGCAAACGCAAAACCGAGCTCAGACCTCAAGCACACGTTCGTTACTTTCTCACTATGCACGAGGACTACAGATTCCGGCTCTTAACCTAGAAGAGATCCGGGTCTCGCGCTTTAATCCGATACTAACAAAGGCCCTGGAGAGCCGACGGAGATGGAGGAGTAGGAGGAGGAGGAGGAGTAGTCGACTCGACTCCCGATCTTCCGTAAGCGATGATAGAAGATACCCACCGAGGCTTGAGTTGTTCCTCCCTGAGCACGCAAGAGGATCGTCTCCTCTTAAATTTCATGCGAGTGGCGTGTTTGCACTCTGTCCGAGTCGTCTTTTCTTGGCGTGCAGCCGTTTTGCCGCGACTGGCTCGCGCTCGTCTTCCCCGTCACTTGCAGGCCACCCTCCTTAACTCGCACGTTCGCCTTCTTCTCTTCCCAAACAAAACACCGGCCGTACTCTCGCGATCCCGTCCTCGTCCGTGTCGGTCCTCGTCGTCGCCGTTGTCGTCCTGTGTGCCGCGTTCTCATCCACTCTCTCGCACACTCGTGCACGCTCTTTCTCTCTCTCTCTCTCTAACTCCCTCTCTCTGTTTCCTCGCGCGTCACACGGTTCGTCGTCGTCGCCGTCGTCGGCCCCGCGTATTGTCGCACGCACACAATCTTTCCTATTAGTGTACGTACGGCCATACGACGTGCGTCTCTTTTCTTCCCTCTCGCTCGATCGCACGCGCGATCCATCCTTACCGTCGCTTTCGTCTCTCTTGTCGCGGGACTTTCGCGCGTGCGCGAGCCTACGGCCAGACGCGCGCCAGTGTGCGTGTGCCCGATGGCGACCGCGTACCCGCGCGCGCGCCCACACACATGCAGACGCGCGCGCGTTGCGTTCGTACGTACGTGCGTGCGTGTAGCGAGCGAGCGGAAAAGAGCGAGGGAAAAAGCCTAAAGATTTTCGAAAATATAATAACAAGATGGCCGTGCCGCTTGTAGGGCGCGCACCGCCGGGGATAAGCGAAGTCTCCGATTGGCTCTGTCCATTGAAAGTCGGACTTTCGGCCAATGGTCGGGTGAGTACGAGCGGCGTTTTTGCCTTTAGCGTTGCGCGCCGTCACGTGATCGTGTTCAAATACACGTGCCGAGAAAAGGGCGAGGAACGGTACGGTGCACGACGTCCAAGGGATAGTTTGAACGCCACGGTTGTTGACGGGATTTGTAATGTGGTGGGGTTATCGCAGTCAAGGGGATGACGATGATGGTTTTATTATCGTTATTCGGTAATCGCATTAATTATTTTGCAGGCAGTGGACGGGATATATTTGTACGCTATTGCGCAAACGTTTCTTTATTTACTTCTTGATTATTTCGTTACCGATTGTTTATTTATTTTCATTTGATATTACTTTCTCTCCCCCCCCCCTCGTTTATAATTATTTTCTTAACTTTCCAACGGCTTTAATTATTTAGAATCTCTGACAGCGCACACCAATTGTGCCCGATTGCTTCTTTTTGTCATCTTTCATCCGTCTCTCTCTTTCTCTCTCTCTCTCTCTCTCTCTCTCTCTCTTCTTTTTATACAAATATTTTTATGTAAAAAAGTTAAATAATGTTGACATTAATTTGACAAGCGTCGATAAATCTTAAGAAAATCATAGATGACGTGTTTATTCTTAAATAATTATTGATTGGAACCGAAAATTTTAAGCGTGATAAAGAATCTTAATTCTTCCTTATTATAATTATGCACTATTTTAATCATCACTTTATCAATTAAGTAATTAAGTAATTAAGTAATTAAAAATGAGAAGTAAAAGTACACTGTAGTATTAGGAAAAATATGAGTAAACGCATTATAGAATATTTGGGCTATATGGTCATTAGATCAGTACCTGACGATTGTTTATCTCCTTCATACCACCCGAGAGCGACTTTTCCATTGTTTTCCATATTTTCTGATCTTATTGTAAATGCCCGCGTGACTGGAGATAGAAATACACTTATGCGCGCAGAAATTGGAGTTTGGAGTTTGAAAAACATCTGCATCTATACTGACCGTTCGGAAAACTTGACATTCCAATTATCTACGAGCTCTTCCACAAACATTCGTCACATTTGTCACGAGCGATTGGGTTACGACTTCGGTTTTGGAATTTCGACTTTTAGTCGTTTAAAGTCCGTTTCTTACAGTCAGCAACAGCCGTAACGTACAACTAACGTGACGTACAGGCAGCAACAGCGTATCCAACGAGTCTGCTTCGTCTCATTAGTCGTTGTTCCTGCTGCTGCTGCTGCGGGCACGTCATGTCACTGCTATGATCGAGATCATATGTTCGCGAATTCGTTTTTGGCAGTGTTGTTATTGTAAGGTTTCTTCGTAAAGCCTTCGGACTAGTGCGTTTGGCCGACAATACGTTTGGAAGAACATGTCTTGCCAAATTAAAGGCATTGCAAATTTAGTCGATCCCGTTGATTTAAAAAGTCGTCTTTTTGGGAATTTCGATCAGAAATGTAAGACATTTTCATTAGCCTAGAGGTTTCAATTTGTTTATGTAACTCTTAGTATAGGAATATTTATTGAGCGATTGTAGCTAATTCGATTATTTTCTATTATTTCAGTCGATAACGTGCCTGAAAATGAATTACCCTTACAAGATTGTTTTCTTTCTTTATCGCCGTCTGGAGATATTTTGGTCATAGCATGGAATACTCGTATGGTCATATTAGGCTGTAAGTATTCGTTGGGTGATCTTTTTCTTTCTTTTTTTTCTTCTTCTTTACGTCTTCTTTTTTCTCCTTTTCTTTTAATATTATTATTATTATTATTCATTTTGATGTAGCAAAATGGGACTCTCAAGAGTCTAGCGACGTAAAGAATAAATTTCATATTATTTGGGATGGCAATGTGGCATCGAGACAAAAGTAAGAGATAGATATTATTGTTTTATATTTTTATTTATTTGGTATTAAATTTGCGAATTTGGTAAATTTAAAGTATTTAATTTTTGTAATAGCGAATGGATAACATCTTTAATAACCCTTCCAATTATTTCTAATGGCAAATCAAGCGGTGGTGTAGGCACAGAGTGGACGTATATAGCTGTGGGATTGAATACTGGATTCTTACAATTTTACACAGAAGTATGGTGGATAACTATACAACTTCTAAATTCAAAACTAATTTTTACATTTTTACTTTACTTTACATTACACTTTGCATTTTCATGATTTCTTTGTATTATATTATTAAAGAGCGGAGGATTATTGCTGGAAGAACAGTTACACAACGAAAGCATAATAAATATAAAGTGCCAATCGCATTACTCTCCTAAACATGCAGGGGATACAGGAACTTTGGAGGAGATTCATGTTTTGTACAACACAGTTGTATGCATTTTACAAGGATTTTCTTTATTTTCAACTTTAAGAGCATTTAGAAATTATTTAGCTAGAGGTATATATATATATATATATATCCCATTTGTTAAATATCAATTTGAGCTTCGGTTAATTTAGTGATATTTGATTGGTAGTGAAGGCCAATTGCGAGGATAAGCCTCCTGCAGTAAGTTTAGTATGTAAAAAATGGGGGTTTAAAAATCAAGATGTCGTAAATGATTGCGAAGTAATTGGTTCCACTTCTGTAAATACTTTTGATCACCTTATGACCGCGTCCATTTGCGGAGGATATAATTCCAGTTATCGCTCCAGTGCACCTCAACATAGTCTAGTTATAGCTACAGGAAAGAAGCCGTTCATTGGTTTCCATTATGCTTTTGAAGGAGCTTCCGCTCCCATTTTATCGGATGTCGCTATTGCTATGGCCAGTAAAGTTGTAAGTGCCATTGGTGCTGCTGTTCCGTAAGTACCTTAATTACTTTTAATTAATATACTTTTATTAAAATTCAATATTTATCTATTTTAATTTTCCAAACATTTGACATAGTCGTTTATTATTTTATGCTTTATACTTATCCCTTTTCTTAATAACAGATGGTTCAAAGGAAATTCAAAAAATGTAGCTACGTCGGAAAAATTGAAAGGATTTATTAATGAACCTGCTGAATCGATGACCTGCAGATTTGGTGTAAGTGATATTTTGAGAGAAGGGGACTGCATTATTGTCAGTCCAAATAAATTGCTATCAATTATTTGTGATGCCATGGGAAGAGTGATGTTAATCGATAATATACAAGGAATCGTATTAAGAATGTGGAAAGGTTATAGAGATGCTCAGTGTGGGTGGATACAAGCTGTAGAAGAAAAGAATCGAGTACTTGCGAAAAGTCATCAAGGTGGTAAAATCGCTGCAGGTAATACATTGCAAAATCGAAGATGCAAAGTATTATTTTTGGTAATTTATGCTCCCAAAAAAGGTATAATTGACATTTGGGGTGTACAAAATGGACCTAAAATCAGTAGCTTCTATGCTGGTAAACATGGAAGGTATGTAATAAAATTCTTATTTTATTCATTAATAGTTTCATAATTTTTGCATTATATTTTAACAAATAAGAAATTACGCGAATGATTAAACATTTTAATAAATAAATCAAATAGGCTACTATATACGAACTATGGATTATGCGGATTAAACGATATGACATTAAAGTCAAGAAATCAAGCACAATATCCTTGTGTTTTCATTGATTCACTTGGAGGAATGAAAGAGATCACAGTTCCATTCCATTTTGCTCTTAATAGTCATAATAATAGTGAACATAGCAATAGTTCTAGAGACACGCATTTATTTAAGAAATTAAAAAAATTTTTGAAGGAAGAAGAATTCAATGAAGATAAATTGATTAATGAAGTTACCAATCTTTGTTTGGATATAAAAACGAATGATGTTCAATTAGAAACCATTGAAATGTTAATGATTAATAAGCATATTACACCAAGTGCTTTGTTAGCCGTTGTCGATTGCTTTTCTAAGCAATCTGATTCTGAAAGTATGTCTGTATAAATTACGAATAACTTTTATATCTAATTACTTGGGCCAATTATCATAATCATGTTATTCTATTACATTTTTTGTTTTGCGTAGACGACGCATCTAAATTATTGTCGAAACAACACAATCGGCTATTAAAACAACTGGGTGATGTTATTAAATTTTACATATATATTAAAGCACAATATGACCAACCACCCGAATATACTACCGACGCTTCAGATGAAATTGTCAATGAAAAGCAACTGTCCAATACATTGTTTACGTCTGAACAGGAAATACATAGAATTTTAACATTGTCAAAAACGTTAGCAAGTATGAGAAAATCCAATCCAAATAGTCAAAGTAGAGTGACATTTAAAGAAGATGGAGAAACATTTTTAAATTTCTTATCATGTTTTGATTTTAATTCTTCGAATTATTTAGAGTTAAAAAAAGATGTTAATTTCGATTTAAAATGTCGGATTTGTAAGTTTTGTAAATAAAAATTTATTTGGCATTTAATGCACGTGTATCGAATAATCGATATTAAAAGTTATAAATTATTTTTTACAGCCAAATTGATATTTCAAGGATGTATGTACTCGAGTGTTCCAATGTCGAATTGGCGAGATCGTGCTGTTAATAGCAATATACATCCCGAAGTGCTAATCCAGTTTGCTCTTATTTATTGGCTGACCAAAAGTATGGTATCATCATTGGAAGTAGAATTGATAAGTTTTACAAAAATACTTCATACTATTTGCTTATTGAATGGTGGGTTTCTTATATTTATCGTTCTATTAATAACAATTGCGTTAGTTTTTATTTTCTAAATTTTACAAATAAATATTAAAGATGCAGAAGAAATATGCACGAGCTATAATGAGGTTTCGCGCTGGTGGAGGGACGTTAGAAATATTTTAATAAATTCCACCGATCCGTTTAACGCATTAACCGCAGCAATGGCGTGTAGAGCAGTCTCGATTACTATGCAAAAAAATAAAGATCGATTGCAAACCAGCATTAAGAGCGATTTTAATGAAAATGAAGCCGAAGATGAAAAAGTTATTAGCAAGTCAGAGAAGTTGGTAAGAGATAATGTGAAAGAAGATGGAAACTCGTCGCCAGAAGAAGTTAGTAATCTTAATGATTGGGAGAGTGTCAGTAAAGATACTTGTCAATTTTCGTTGCTTATCGGCAATTTAGAGGATGTTGCCATATTAAATGCAATCGTTTGGTACTTATAATTCAACTAATTTAAACCTTTGCTTAATAGATAAGCATATAGATATATGCGTATTACTTTACGCATGCATATAAATTCATTGTTATTTTAGCAATTCTCCAACACTGGACGAAACCACGCCATTTTATACTTTACCCTATAAAATAACTACTGTATCGTTGGAGCTTGTGCTTTCTAAGGGAAAAGGTAATTATTATTTACTGTATAAGCTGATAATTTTTTGAATTGTTTTGAAAGTATTTTACGTAAAAATCTCGTCAGTTATGTATCATAAATAAATAAATAAATAAATTAATTAATTAATTAAAAAAAAAAAAAAAATTAAAAAAAAACACCAATCCAACAAATATTTTTAACGCGAGGATAAAAAAGTTATTGTTTATTCTGCCATGATCGATGATATTTTAGGATCTGTATCAGAAATAGTATCAAAATGGCTTAGCTCAACTGGTGTCGACCCTGCGCTTCTAATAGATGAATCAAATACTGAATTAGAGCAGTGGAATTTGTCAGAAAATTCATTAAAATTTACGGGCTGGTCGGATGAAGCCAAGTCCGTAGACTTTCTTCAGCAAGATTCCAAAAATTTTGCACCCGAAATCGATGGCGATACCACTAATACTCAACATACCGCCCTCGCAAAAGTTTTAGGTATACTTTTAAGCAATCTCATTGATTTTGTAATAAATTTTTTTCTTTTATATTTATAAATGTAAATTTTGCAGATAAAGTATCATTACTTAAACGATACTTTCCATACAGTTTAAATAGTAGCGTTTTACTAGCCAATTTATCATGGGAATTCATTATGTTTTGGATCAAAGATATAACGCGATTAGAGGCATTAGAAACTTCATTGAATGTACTTCGTCATATTCCTTTTGATCGTATCCGTCATGGTAGGTTGTTAGTTTTAAGTCATATACATTTATATTCGTTTATGCTGACTAAATTGTACTTTTACAACGTAGGGATATGTTGCCTACTCTGGAATCTTCATTTAAAGAAGAAAATTGAAAGCGTTGCAAAACTTATCAACAAAGTAGGGAAATTACCAAAAGAACGCTTGTGTATACAAGACATTGGACTTTCAGACACTCAACTCACAATATTCTTGCATCATTGTGTTAAATTTTTAGATATCTGGTTAAATGTATGTTTATTTTATAATTGTTAAGAACCTAAAATCCAAGCTTATATTCAATTGTTGTATAAATTTTAGGCTGCAGTTGTAGAAGATGAAAAATATTCATATATCAGATCTGAGGAATTGTGGGAGGGTCATACAGGTGGCCCACAGCCTTTGGCAATTGTAGCAATTTCACAAGCACCGGCTCACTACGATTTACTTATGTTACACTGGCAATTGGCAAGTGTATTTTACGCGATGTCATATTTTAACTTGAAAGTAACAAAACCAATTGACAATATGTTTCATTCGATGGTAATGCATTAATTATATTTTTAATCGCGTAAAAATAGTTGAAGTGATATAGCATTCTTTTTTTTTTTTAAATTATTAGGCTCATCAATATTTTTTTCGCGACATAACGGATAAAATAACGATTCCATCGTACAAGGAAGACAAAAGGGATAATATGCGTTTAGAATTTCTTTGTCGTGTCATTACAGCTACCATAGAATCAATTCATCAAGAAACATTAGTCAATAATTTAAATTTTACCGAAGCGACTCAATGGATGTGCAAATGCAAAGATTTAGCATGTGCGTGGCAACTTGATGTCGATGAACTCAGAATTCATCAAGTCTGTCAATTGTATATTAATGGCTTTGATCGATTAGCGGAAGAGGTATTCATCAATGTCGAGACAATTGCAAAATAATTTACTTTGCATAGTTTATTTACACTTTATTTTTAGGCCAGTTTTTTTGTAAATGATCAAGAAAGGTTAGCTGCAAAACTTCTCCCAATTGCAGGTGGACGTACAATGGCTTATATTTCGAAAGTACCTGATTTATTAAAAGAAATATCAAGGATAAGTCCGAACCTTACCACATATCTAAAAAACCTTGTACAGGTTTGTATTACATACTATATTTTATATAAATTATAAATTGTATAAATAGTTAAAAGAGAGTAGTTAAAAGAGAATCTTTTTAATTTATTTTTACACAAAATTTCTTTACCTTAATTGCTAATTTAGCTATTTCATTTATATTTATTTTTTGTCAGATTTATTAGTTAGATTATCTTCATCCTCATAATACAAATTACATGGATATTTTATTTTGCAGGATTCTCCGGATACAATTTTCACAAATTGTTCCAATAAAGACAGAATAGAGTTAGTGCAAAAGATATACAGAAATATTCCAGAAACACATCATGAATATCATATAGCTCAGCAGATGCTTGATGCAACTTCCAATTTTGAAGAGGAAACTTCTTTGAAATCGAACGATTAATTAATTTATTTCGATTGTTTTTGTAATTTATTAAATATATACAACTGTTAACAATGCAATTTTGAAAAATGGAAAAACAAAAATTGTTAATTTTATAAGTATTTTTCTCTCTTTTTTTTTTTTTTTTTTTTATTCGTTATAACGTATAATTATTGAAAAATATTTAAGATAATCTGAATTTGAGTATTATGAAATTTTTTGATATTTGTTGAATTTAATTATCTTTATCTGTAAACAGAGCTGATAAATTATGTACATTTTCTCGTATATATATATATATATATATATATATATATATATATATATATATATATGTATATTATTAATTTATATCAAACGTTATCGATGTACATAGAGATACAAAAAATTTATTAAAATCTAGTTAATCTATAAAATTTCTAAAAAAAATCTAAAAAAATCTAAAAAATTTTATCTACTTGCAGTCGTTTTTAATTGATTTCGTATAGTCTACTTTGATATTTAAATAAGCTTTTAAAATATAAAAATACAAAGAAAAAAAAAATAATAATATTTGAGTAGAAAAAATAGAAACGAATCACTTTTGTATAAAATAATTAGATTGTTTTTATGTATATACAAGTTTATTTTGTAAAAATAAGGCGCGATTTCTATAATAAGTTAAACTTCTTTCTCTTTAATAAATTGTAATGTTAAAACCGCACACGTAGATTTTCAATCCATTGCATTTCCCATATTTATAATTAGTGAAATTCGTAATATTCATTTCACGTATTCAAACATCTGTACATGTTAATAAGATGAAAGTAAAGATACACCTTTCTATATACATATATATGTATGTGTCTTTAAGTAAATTTTTTCAGGTATTATAATCGGTGTAATATTATTATTCCAATTTATTGCGATGGTAGAGCTCGTATTTTTTTGCTTCTCAAAGTTTCAAAATCTAACGGCGAAACCTTTGTAGCCTAGCTTTGTTACAGATGATAAATCTTTGAATTCGCAATGATGTATTTCACTTTCCGGGCTTCCTACTGTCGAGAGCCATTGAGCCCTGAAAGACAAAGAAGATTTTTCTCGTTAATATATTATTTAATTTGTTATTCGGCAAAATATTTTTTCATTTGCATATATTTAATTTTCTTTAAAATAAAATAATACATGTTTAATATATATTTCAGAAAATATTAACAATCTAAATATTTGCTTATTTTTTTAAATTAAACATATTTACTTTACGCTGTGATTCATAGTTTCTAATATTTCATGAAGTTAGTGTAAAAATCATAGTCTATTAATGTATGGCAATTTTACAACTGTTGAAGGAACTCATGTAGAATCCAATCATTTTCATGATGTGGTAATGCTTATTTGAATACATCATTTTTTATATACGAAAAGAAATAATAAAAAAATGGTCGAATAAAAGAATCTGTTGTATGAAATTGTAAATTTTACTCAATAGCTAAAATTCTGTAAAATCGGTATACAAAAGATAAGTAATAAGTTTATTTTTATTTTTATACTCCACATAGCTTTATTATTTTATTTTTTCCTCAGAGATATAGTAAACATTGCTGCTTTCTCCGATCTCAATCTTCACTAGATTACAAAAGATTTTTATTGTATTCAGAAATAAATTCAGAAATAAATTTATTTACAAGCAATTATTGATTATTCAAATTCAGATATAATTTTTATTTATAAAACGATGTAGGTAAGTCTACAAGCATTGAAAATAATAATATTATTTTATTTATAAAAGGCGAGCGAACATAGTAGCCGTACATTTCATCGTAGACATAGAAACTACACGATTACTATATTATCTACATTTCTTAAATACTTCGGCGTTATAATACATTTTAATATAATTTGCTCGAGTTGTCGCTCGTTTAATCATACTTTCATTCGTTTCTCTATATCCTACTGCCGCCAGCAAGAAAGAGCGCCAAATTGTTGTGAGAGCGTCGCATTAGTAACGAGGGGCGTCCAATAGTCCTGCCAATTATTGAAGAGCGCGATGTCGCTGACTGTGGCATTATAATTAGCGGCTAATCGGATCTCGATCGGATATTTTTGTATACGACGTATGTAGTAAGAAGCGTATATCTCGCGCTTATAGTAGACTTTTTTTATAGCTTCGGAACATAATGCTTATTGCCCTCAAATTTTCCATTGGATATATATATTTTTTTTTTTAAGGCTGTATCGATATGTAATTATATAAAAATTCTTATAGATATTGCTAATGTAGATTTTGAGAAATTGAACAAATTTCGCGATCGTAGATTATATTCGTAGTATTAATTATTGCATAATACATTTCTTTGACATACTCTAAACTATTGTAAGAATTTAAGTTTATGGTCAAGGTTTGCAATATTGAATCATATATAAAGCATTATACTTTAGCTCAATTAATCATGTCAACGCTTATGACTACATTAAAGAGTAAATTATTCCAAGCGTCTTAAAAAAAAATAAAAAAGAAAAAAGTATCGAGTATTTTATGGCTGAACTTAAGGTAGTCAAAACTTAGTCAAAGTTTTTCAATATGATTCTGCATTTCTGCAATTAGTAATTATTTATTTATTGCATTTATTTGTTATAAATAAGTATTATAAATGGTTGTTAATTTTTAACTATCATTTCTTATTATTCAGATTTGACACAGAATTTTTATCTATTAATGTGATATCGTTTATAGAATTAAAAAGTTAAGAAAGTAGTTAATGATATTTAATATCATAGAGAAATCATAGAATTTGATATTAACAAAACTTTTCAATTTAATTTTTCAACTTTATTATAAAGTATATTTACATCATTCGTCGAATTGTCTGACTAATCACTGTCCTTTTCTACTTATCCATCCCGCCTTACAACCTTTAATTAAATATAAAAATCTTTTTACAATCAACAGATTCCATTTTATTTTCCAATAAAATTTAATAAATATCTTATAGATTAATTATGCTTATGAATAGTGAGCTTCTAATCAATTAATTAATAACATTGTTGGTTTATCATAGGCAATGTGAAAGTGTATTAAAATAGTATTAGAAATCATTATTAATAAGAAAACGAGAGGTGTAACAAATTGTTCAATTAGATAAATAAATTGTGTATAAATTTTGCATTTATCGGGCAAATAAATTGTTTTAAAACAGTTACGAGTAGTTGCTGGGCTCAGTGATAGTTAGACGCGTGGGATTGTCTCGCTTTTAGTAGGTATTACTCACAAATTATATACGAGTGCGCATGTTTGCCAAAAGTAAAGCGTTGTATTTATAAAAGTAGAAGACCCGTAATGGAACAGTGATGACTAGTTTAAAAATCATCATAATAACGAATACGTCAAAAGCAGTGAACATCATTGAAATGAATAATTCTTCAAGATTTCATTAGAGTTATGAACAGTTGATTAAAGTCGCGAGTGGATTGGATTTACTTAAAGAAAAATTCTTTAAAGCGTTGACGCGATAAAGCCGCCTATTTAAACTATATTTGCTATAATAGCCAGGGATTTGCCGATTGGCTTGGCCCGGGCAATTATCGGCCAAACGCGCCTAATCGCTATTTCGATCCCTTGTTTGTGCAGCGGCGTCTCACGTCGAACGGCTGGTGCGCAATATTCGATCCGGTCGTACCCACGAGCACGCGCACATGTCCGTCGACTCTGGATTGTACCTCAAGGTGCCTAATTGTCGGCGACTTCCTTTTTGAGAGCAAGCCAGGAAAAGCGGCACATTGTTCGACGGGCGCATCAAGGATGCTCTTTTAATAAATCACTTCCGTCTCGCCATATTAAGCCAGAGAATGGACTCTGCGCGGCACCTCGCGTCTTCCAATGTCGCGTTACACCATCGCCGAGCGCTCATCACGAGTAAGCGTTCGGCCTCTCTTCGACTATCAGCCGAAGGCTCTTCCGTTGCAAAATGCAAATTTGCAAATTGATTTCGCATCCGAAGCTATTCCGAGCACTACAATTACGTCTTTTTTCACTTTTTAAATTTTAGCATCTCAGCCTCTCACACTCTCGCTCTCCGCTCCAATGCCGCTCATTTTATATCTCCTTTCATATGTCCTTAGCACTTTTCCTTTATTATACGTTTCTTCATAGTACAATAAGCCGTTAGTTCGTGCAACTATTCAACCTTTAAAAGATTCTTCTTTGACCATACGATACGATTATTCTCATGGAAGTTCAAACTATCATTAAGATTTTAAGCAATTTAAACATTGTTTGAAAAGCAAATCTTTGTCCCTTTATCATTAAAAGATGCTTTCCTTTCACATTCACAACTTGTATAGCCTGAAATTTTCAATATAAAGACGACATTAACATTTTGATAGATAAATATTCATACTAAGCCTGTAAATCTTGCATTCCTGTAATACTTGTCATATACATTTTACGTATTGTCTGCTTAGTTTTAGCGACCATCGAAATATAAAGGATAATAAAGGAGAGCAAAGAAAATAGATCAGTAGGTCTGGTCGTACTCGTCGAAATAACGAGCGGAGTTACGATTGTTAGGCAGTCATTTTCTTCTTCACTTCATGTACTCGCCGCACGTCAACTGTCATCGACTGGTTCGTTCTCCTCTTCGTTGACAAATTAATGCCATTTTTTCAACTACACAAAATTCTTGAACTATTCAGTGACAAAAATTATTGTTAAAAAATTGCCACGATGGGCAAAAGACAACACATAATACATAAAATACGAACTCCTGTAGCAATGAAAAATTGTTTAATTGCACTTATTAAACGTATTGTTACTATTACTCGTTTATGTATGATATTATCTTAAAAATTTTCCCATTGTATAGTAATTGGATGGGTTAATGTATTTTATAAGCGAAACATAGACACTCGTGCAGTATACTCTTGCGTATCCAATAAATTAATGAAAAATCGTATATCAAGATTAGCGGAAGAATCGTTGCATTTGTTTATGTTGTTGATGTTTTTCTTGTTGATATTCGTGCATCTGTCATTTTTACTCCTACTCTCGTGTCTCCTACTTACCCTTCACCTTCAGATTCTTCGAGAGCGCCGCTCTCCATTAGACTATGCGCGCAGACACGCGCACGCATACTCGCGCACTCGAGTGCGCACGTACGTACAAGCTCATGTACAAGTATGTATGAAGAAGAAGCGATACTTTGCTCGGGCTGGAGCATTATTTTATTAAATCATTATTAAAGCCACTTTTCGACCTGATGCAACGTCGTGCAAGCTCGACTCCCTTGCCTTTATAATTTGACATATTTGAGACCTTCTCTATTTGTCTTCCTTCTCGTTCGTCTTATTCCTCCTCCCCCCCCCCCCCT